CACTATAATGAGTTAATATTTGCTTTAATATTACTGATAAATTACTTAAAATGAAATACTGTCTAGCTGTTACTACCCTTTACTACCCTTCTATATCGCTCTTTTCCCTCTCGAAAAAGAATAACCGAAAGAATAAAATCTCAAACAGCTGACCGTAAATTAATAAATCTAAAGCTAGCTATATCTCGCTTTTTCTAAGACCTGCTCACCATTCATCTAGATCATCGATTCATTAGTTCCCATTCTAGACAGGACGCTTGCCAACATTTAATTACAGGTCCTGCATCCGAAAAATTAATCTTCTTTATGAGCACGCCGCTAGCGTAGAAGCGCTAACTTTGCCGTAACCGTCGCTGCTGCTGCAACGGTTTTTGCTGCTGTACCGTGACGTCCTCATTTTTTGTGCCAGAGAAAAAGAAATACCTCTTTACTATTTTTATTTCATCTCGCGATGTTCTTCATTTTAATTTTTGCGCAGATAATTAATGGCATAGTATGAGAATGGCTGCTCTTTTCTGGATTTTGTTGAAAAATATAGGACGATGGTCATTCATCAAAATGCAAGCGGGCCTAATATACGACAGTGGAAAATATTAAGTTTAAAATAAATTTTAGTTGAGAGATTAACTATTTAATAAAAACAATTTGAACATGATTGGAAAGTTATTAATGTTTTTCATAAAAGAAAATTGAACCAAATCCTCATATATTACAAATAAAAATCATAGTTTTTTAAAAAAGCTTCGGCTTACCAGCCATAGATAATTAATAGGATATGAAATTTATGAATGATTATTCATATTCAGTGTCACTTTAAAGTAGCTATATTTGGTTTAACATAAAAAAACATGCATAGGATAAAGGAAAAAATAAAATTAATCTTCCTTTTCAATCGCTCAAAATTAAGCACAGTTAGTTGTAGTTACTAAATATTTCATATCGTTTCTCTATTTTCTCAAAATAAAAAGCAATAGGAACAAATCCTAAAAAACAATACATACGAACATAAATCTAAAGCCATATCTACACTGCTAATTTTTTCTCCAACCTGCACAGAATTTCTCTAGATTACCGGTCCTGCGTCCGAATATTTAATCTTCATTACACAGTTCGTTGCACATCTCCGTTGAAAGAAATTTTAGATAAGAGATTACTCATTTAATTAAAATAACTTAACGTAGGAAAAACTATTATTATATACTATAATAAGTGTCTCATATTCAAAAAAGGTCAATCGAGTCCAGAGACATGAATAAAAAATCAGACATTATGAATTTAAAATCGTTTAGCAGTACTATTTATACAATTGCAATATATCAACACACTACATTTATTACACAAATATCAACAAATTTAGTAAACAAAGAAGACAATTTCCCACATTTTGATACAAATCTGCCTTTTTTCTTTATTATTTACTTAGTATATTTACACACGATATTTCCAAAAATATCACACATAAATTATGATATTTTTTGAAATGATGTAAACTCTATTTTAAAAAGCCTTATTCGCATAAATCGAAACACATTTGTCCGAAAGCAACTGATTCCTGCCTACGCTCCTTGTAAGCCCTTTTATAAATACGCACCAGTTGCTTCAAGAGACTGGGAAAAGGAAAAGGAAAGAAGAGAAGAGCGGGATGGGGTATAGAAACCGCGAATTTATATTCGGTTTTGGAGAATAAAGCGGAATATGCTTGCACGAACGCTCTGTTATGTCGCAAAGAGTTCTGTTCGTGCCCTTATTACGACCATGTTTCTCGGCAAATTGGTGGCGGTCTTTTTTTTCCCGATATTCCGAACAGAGACTCAGGTTTGCGGAAGGATTTCCTTTGCAGGGGATTCTAGATTATAATTTACATTTTCGTATTCGTTTCCTTTCTTTCTCTGTATTAGAAAGCTTACTTAGGTTTAGCATTTAAATGACATAATTATTACTTGGCAAATATTTCAAGATATTTGCGTACTATAATGAAGTAATTTTTGCTTTAATATTATTAATAAATTATGTTAATTGAATAAAAAAATTGTTACTGTTCTCCCACCATATCGCTATTACCTCTCTTGAAATCAAATAACCGAAAGATTAAAATCCCACACAGCCATCCGTAAATTAATAAATAAAGTTAGCTATATTTCGCTTTTTCTACAACCCGCTCACCATTCATCTAGATCATCGATGCATTAGTACCATTCTAGACAGGACGCTTGCCAAAATTTACAGGTCCTGCATCCGAAAAATTAATCTTCTTTACGAGCACGCCACCAAACCAAACTTTGTCGTAACCGTCGCTGCTGCTGCCATCGTTTCTGCTGCTGTCCCGTGACGTCCTCATTTTTTTGTGCCGGAGAAACAAAATATCTCTTTACTATTTTTATTTCATTTCGCGATGTTCTTCATTTTAATTTTTGCGCAGATAATTAATGGCATAGTATGAGAATGGCTGCTGTTTTTCTTGGTTTTGTTGAAAAATTTGAGTCACTGAGAAATATTAAATTTAAAATAAATTTTAGTTGCGACATTAACTATTTAATTAAAACTACTTAGACATGACTAGAACATTATTAATGTTTTCAAAAAAGAAAATTTTGAAATAAATCCACACACATTACAAATAAAGAATCAAAGTTTTAAAAAAAGCTTAGGCTTACCAGCTATACATAATAGGATACGAAATGTATGAATGATTACTCGTATTCAACGTCACTTTAAAAAGTGGCTATGTTTGGTTTAACGTAAAAAAACATGCATGGTATAAAACAAAAAATAATATTAATCATCCTTTCAATTGCTGGAAATTAAGCCCAGCAAATTTTAGTTACTAAATATTTCATATCGTTTTTCTATTCTCTCAAAATAAAATAAGCAAAGGATTAAAATCGTAAAAAACAATACATAAAAACACAAATCTAAAGCCATATCTACACTGCTCGTTTTTTCTACAACCTGCACAGAATTTTTCTAGATTACGAGTCCTGCGTCCGAAAATTTAATCTTCATTACACGTTTCGTTACACATCTCAGTTTAAATAAATTTTAGTTAAGAGATTACTCATTTAATTAAAATAGCCTAACGTAGGAAGAACTATTATTATATACTATAAGAGTCTTATAATCAAAAAAGGTCAATCGAATCCACAGACATTATGAATAAAAAATCATAGCTATTTAAAATCGTTTAGCAGTACTATTTATACAATTGCAATATATCAACACACAACATTTATTAGACAAATACCGACAAATATAGTAAACGAAAAGACAATTTCCCACATTTTGATACAAATCGGCCTTTTTTCTTTACTATTTACTTAGCATATTTACACATAATATTTTCAAAAATATCAAACATAAATTATGATATTTTTTGAAACGATGTAAACGCTATTTTAAAAAGCCTTATTCGCATAAAATCGAAACACATTTTTCCGAAAACAACTGAGTCCTGTCTACGCTCCTTTAAGCCCTTTTATAAATTCGCACCAGTTGCTTCAAGAAACTGAGAGAACGAAATGGAAAGAAGAGAACAGCGAGATGGGGCAAAGAAACCTTGAATTTATATTCGGTTTCGGGGAATAAAGCGGAATATGCTTGCACGAACGCTCCTTTATGTCGCAAAGAGTTCTGTTCGCGCCCTTATTACGACCATGTTCCTCGGCAAATTGGTGGCGGTCTTTTTTCCAGATATACCGAACAGCGACTCATGTTTGAGGAAGGATTTCCTTTGCAGGGGATTCTAGATTATAATTTATATACATTCTCGTATTCGCTTTCTTATTTTCTCTGTGTTAAGAAGCTTACATAGGTTTAGCATTTGTTACATAATTATTGCTTAGAAAATGGTTTCAGGATATTTTTATACTATAATAAGCAAATTTTTGGATTAATATTACTTACATATTTCAAAGAATTCTTCTTTACAAATAATAACAATAGTTGGTCATTCATCAAAATGTAAGCAATGCTTAACATGCGACAGTAAAAATATTACAGTCGACATAAATTTTAGTTGGAGACTATATATTTAATTAAAATAAGTTATTCGTAACCGGAGAAATGTTTTACCAAGAAAAAAAAATGAATTGTGTCCACATATATTATAAATAAAACTCTCAAAACTGTAAAAACTGTGTAAAAAAGAATGTCATGAAATGGAAATAGTAAGGAGGGTTTTAATTTATTTTTCTCCAAAGAAAAAACAAGGTCCTAATGGTATAGCAGCCGAAACAAAAGAAGCAACAGCGGTAAGGGCTACAACAAAGTTAGAACTTCGTGGAGCAGGCGTATTCTCATAACAAAGATTAATTTTTCGAACGTAGGGCCAGTAATTAAGTTTTGGCAATCGTCCTTTCTCGCACGAGAAAGAATGAATCAGTGCACATAAATCGTGTACAAGTATTGAAAAAGAAAGAAATTTAGTTAGAATAGATTTCCAATATTGAACCTATGAATTGCTTTCTCAAATTTCTATCTTTATAATTTCATTTTCAACGTGAAAAAAAAACGATATGACAAAATCAGTAACTATTACTCATGTCTCAAATATTGAGGAACCGAAAAGGAAACAGATTTTTTTATATTAATTATTTTGTTTTTTTTATTCATAATATCAGTAAACCTGATTCACATTTGTTTATTAGAAAACGGTAATAATAATTAATGTTTTGGATTTACCCAACGTTTAAGTGATTTTATTTAAATAGACTCTCAACTATTTCTTTTTTCAATTTTAATACCCTTCATTGCCACACATTACGTTTCGACTGTATTTTATGGATGACCATCGTTATTATTCCATTCAACTAAATTTAGCAAATGAAGATTTTCAGATTATGAATATATCTGCGATAAAATTAATAAAATAAACACCTCAAAATTCTTTAAAAATGAAGCGTACGCATAGCACGAAACCAATTCATAGAGAAAATTTAATTAAAATTAAAATGTACATATTTAACTACCAAAATCAAAGAACAATTGATAGTAGAACTTCTTGATCATATTTTTGATATAAATACAACCATTTCTTCAAATTTTGGTATCCCTATTTTAATCCAAACACTTCCAGTTGATTATATTGGTTTATAATATTTCCTCCCTTACCTAAAAGTATACTGTTTGCTGCCTTACCTGAAATAAAAGAAAAATATAGGTTAGTAAAAAATCAGTAATAAAGAAGGAGGAAACTATAAGGAGGAAAAATTATGTCTTTTCTTGTTTTTTAGACTTAAAAAATTATCAAAATGTCTCAAAAACTATACGTCAGAGAGGGATCAAATTTACTATAATTACGCCTGACTCGACATAGATGCTCACTAACAACGGATTTTACTCAAATCCCATCCAAAACACAATTTTTTAATAATATTCATAAAATTTGAAAAAACTTTTTAATACCCATATAAAAATGCAAGACTATAACATTAAATCTTCAAAAAAAATTATAAGTATGAATTTTAAGGCAAGAAAAAAAAATTCGTTATTTGTAGAATAATGTATAATGAATTTTTTTCAGTTCATTTCGATTTTTAACAAGGGTAAATCATAAAAAATAAATTTTTAAATTATAAAATTTGGGAAAAATGTCAGAAGAGATAATTGCATCAAAGTTACGATAATATGAGACCCGGAATAATTTCCTCAGAAAATATTACCGGGAAGATATATATATATATATATATATATATAACTCTATATATATATATATATATATATATATATATATAACGTAATTAACACTTAACAATCCAACTGTACCATCCCTAGGGATCGGGTCTGAGGGTGAGTGTTATCAAGAGTTCGACAAGCGTTCGTATTCATCACCACTTTAACCACACAACCAACTGACACAACAATTTACAAGTTTAAAGGGCATTTTTTAAATTTTTTGAATAAATTATTATTAAGTATGCTGCATTAATTTCACAGAAACCTATTTTCAATATCACAATTTATTCCAAAATGTTAATTCACGCATTTGTATCATGCCGATCATCAAAAAACTATTAAAACTAAAAGAACTTCGGACTTCCATTATTTTTATTTATTTTGCTTACACTGTAAGCAAAAAATAAGTAAAAATAAATAAGTGTTGTAATTAAGTGTAAGCAAAATAAATAAAGACAATGGAAGACCGAAATTATTTTAGTTTCAGTACTAAATCACTGTCTACCACATTCAAAGTAACATCAACAAATTGAAATAGAAAAAATAAATTAGGAATGATCCTGGGTGTAATGGATATTCTCCTTCATTAGGTGATAAAATAATTAGAACTACCTAGTTATAAGTTTGCGATTTCTGCAAATTCGACTTTTCAAGTGGAAAAAATACGTCAAAATATGTTTCAATACCGTTTGATAGAGTATTCTCTTGGTATAAAAATAATTTTTAAGAATATTGAATTATATTTAATAAGTTTATAATTGACATAAACTTGTCTATAGTGCTAATAATAAATTACAACAATAATTATTAGGTAATCCTAAAGATAAAACACCACCACTGAAAAGGTCGGGTATTTATGAAATTTAATGTAAAGATTGTAATCAGAATATGGTGGACAAACTGGAAGATCAATATTAAGTAGATATAAAGAACATATAGCTCAGATATGGGGTTAGACCAGATAAATATTGCGTTACTGAGCATATTGTTGAAAAAGAACACATTGTATAGATATTAGGTAATAATTTAAAAAGAATTAAAGAGGTCTCTAATTACAAGCAATTATATGCATATGAGAGCGTCAAAATTAATTTTTTTAATTAAAATTAATTAAGATAGTGTGAACATAGACAATGGTCCAATTCTTTCCAGTTCTCTGTTCCTACTACTCTTTTTGGTTTTAACTGACTTGGGTAGTTCGGTGCCAACTGGGCGAGTATATAAACGCTCATTTTGAAGATATTAGTTTAGTTTTAGTCATCTACTGATGATGCTAATATGGTAAGAGAAACGTACGTGCAGTGTAAAAATAAAAGTGTTTTGGTGTATTGCGGTAAATTAGTGTTCTATTTTGCTATAAAAAATTACAAAAAATTACTCTGCCTTTCACTCAAATCAAAGCTGTTGGTTAAGATCACAAGAAACCAAAAATTTGAAGTTTCTCCTTCGACTTCCCAAAGTATCTGGTGTATTTTTAAAGGAAAATTTAAATAAGCGACCAAAAGAGGAAACCTCGACAGGGAAAATCCGTTTATTTTTCGATTCGATTCGACAAATCGCAAAGTTTTTCGAGGCAAAGCCCTTAAAGGAATTCGTAATTTGGAAATTTGTTCGCAAAGCTAAGAAAAGACTTGGATGTTGAAAATTAAGGACCTTCGCCTCAGATTGTTATCCCTGTTGTTCGAGCGTAAAGCTTTAGTTAGTGTATAATTGTATCTAGACTGTTTCGTGTTGACAAAAGAGATAATACAAAGAAAATGATATTTCTACTATAAAATAAAAAGAAAATATGCAAGTATAAAATTACGGACGGATTGAAAATAGAAATATTCTCTTGAATTCCAAGAGTATGGAAATATATACAGACATACATACAGCCGTTACTCGCTGACGAGTATTCGACACACATAAAGAAGATGGTCACGCAAGGCGTTTTCTTTCATGAGCTTTTCTGTGACTGAAAAGCCCGATACGTGATGTTATCTGCCTACCGCACTCCGGACATTCAAAAATCTCATTGCTTTGTTGCCTCTTTACTTTTTGGTTGCCGCTGTTAACTGAGTTTACAACCCTTCTCCATTGAGTTCTATTATGAGCTCCTTTTTCCCACTCATTCTGCATGTTAATTCCCTTTAAATTTTCGTGGAAAATGTCCTTGTACCTTTTCAGTTGTCCACCTGGCCTCATCTTACCGTCTACAAGCTCACCGTAAAGCAGAGATTTTGGCATGCGGTTTTCTTGCATTCTGCATACGTGACCAGCCCATCTTAAGCGGGATTTTGTGACCATGACTTCAATACTCTCGCAGTTAGCTTTGTCAAGGACCGATACGTTTGAGATATGATGGAACTACCGGACTCTTAAGAGTTGTCTAAGGTATCTCTGTTGCAACTTGTTTAATGCGTTCATGTGTCGAAGGTACGGCACCCAGGTTGTAAATATATGTATAATAAGCTTCAAACAAAATTCTTTATAACGTTCTACCGTTTTTTCATCTTTCTATAATTAATGTTAATTTTTGACAAGTTTTATGTCACTTTTAATAAATGACGTCTAAAGATTAACCTCGCCAAAGTTATCATAGATTGTCATTCCCCAGTCGTCTTTGACGCCGTTTTTTTTCGATCATACGATACTTTCTTCCATTCTTTCGTTGCATATTGGACATGTTTTAAATAAATTCTTCACAACATTGTTTTTTTAATACCAAAAAGAACTATTTTATTTCATAAAGATTATTTTTTCCATAGCAACTGTCAAAATTACCTTATATCTATCAAAAATAGTAGATAAAATAGTACTTTAACCGCAAGGGTAGATTAAATGATAATACTTTAAGAGCGAGGATAGGTTAAAACCTTTATTTCTTCTCGCACGTTTTTTAATTGCTTCAATTTTTGAAAATGTTTATATTCCTTTTCATAAGTTATTCGGGATTTAAATGGAAGTAGTTTGGATATGGCGTTTGTCGCCTCAGCCTGAATATCTGTTGGTAATTTACTTATTTCGTTTTGAGCTATTTCTGGCTCCAATTCAACCAGCAATCGACACGAAAGAAAATTAAAAAATATTGACTCAAAACTGACAACTAAAGAGGCAGTTTTATTTATTTGTCAAATTACATAGAAACCAACGACAACCCAGCACAATATTTTTTGTACTCGTAATAAATTCCTTTAAATAATAATTTCTGAATGCTTTTTAAAACGTAACTCGCTATGGAAATAAATATTGTTTTATACACGACGATAAAATTGCATTGTCGTCTCCCAAAATTAATTCACTCGCGAAATACTGTTGCGGACCCGTGTGGACTCGACCTAACCTAACTATACCGGATGCGTCTCAAAAGTGGCGCACCTCTATAACTTTTTTATTTTTTCAGCTAACAAAACGAGATTTGGTATGTTAGTATATGACATAAATTCGGATTGATTGACGTATTCAACTGTTTTTGGTTACTTTCTATTTCACCGGTAATAACTACAACTTTTGATTTTTAAATGGCACCCTCGGTATTTTTTCACTTTATTCGATAGAAAATGACACTCTGAACCGAATCACATAGCACATGTCAACTTTTGACATATTCGCTCAAAAACAAGTTGTATTTTAAATTTTAATCTAGAGTGCCATGACTGTGTTAAAAACACTAATTTTTTAGCAAGGAGCCTTGGAAAAATAGATTTGATTGTCTAATGTTTTAGTGTCTTGTCCTGGCCGGTTAAAAGATGCCCAAATCGTGTTTCTAATCATATCTCAATTTTTTCAAATAGAACGAGGGTGGCTCATTAACACATTTGGAAAAAGCATTTTTTTGCGAATAATTTGATACCACACACTTGGTATTTCGAGTCGAATTGTCATTATGAACCGCATGTTACAATTTCAAATAAACCTTATGCGAAAACGTCAAAGGTCATTCTATTTAGAGTGTCATTTTCTATCGAATAAAGTAAAAAAATACCGAGGGTGCCATTTAGAAACCAAAAGTTGTGGTCATTTCCGGTAAAACCGGAAGTGACCGAAAACAATTGAATATGTCAATCAATCCTAATTTATGTCATATACTAACATACCAAATCTCGTTGTTTTATCTGAAAAAATAAAAAAGTTATAGGGGTGAGTCACTTTTGAGACGCACCCGGTATATCCCGATAACCTTACTTAATATCGCATTAAAGAATAGACACCGTAATGATTCATTCGAACGTTCGAGAAGAATCGAGTTCCACTGGAATGGAGTAGTACATACGAGAACATTCGAAACCTTCTTTATGCACCTAATGATCTATGGATTATTGGAGAAATCTTTAGCTGTGGGTATAAAAGCCGGCGGCTGTGGCCTGAAGAGGACAGAAATAAATAGACGAGTACAGTTGACGCACTAAATTCAAAATAAATTCTTTCTAGATAAATAGTTATAAATCGTTTGTACATTGTTCTTTAAGTCTTTTATCGTT